CTGGTTCCACTGGTTTCCAGCAGGAGTGAGGTCTGGGGATTGTTCTGACCAGGGAATGTGCTGGAAGTCTGTCTCCTGCTCCTCCAGCCCAACCCCCCCCACACACACACATGGGGGTCTGTTAATTGGACTGTGAGGTTCCTAATTTTCTTTTTGCCAAATTAGAAAATAAAAGATTAATTACATCAATCACCTTACTTTTTTATGATGATGATTAGATCTTTGACAATTCATCAACCCATAATCCATCTTTCAATATTCTTAGGGGGTCACAGGTCTATCCTCCCAAACAATGTCTTACAGCATGAAGAAACAATATTGCTCTAATTAAATGGTACTGTGTAAACACCATATTTCACAAACTGCACTGCACAGCTCCATTCCTGCAATACTGCAGTTTAAACCAGCATGCAGTCTAGGCACTGTCGTTGTATGGTCTGTAGGCATGTAGTGTTTTGGTGCTTTATAACATTTTTATACAGTACACTAACTCGAAACACTAATAAAGATACACTGGGCACAACCCCCAGAAGTACAATGTGCAAAATTAGCTACTATAAAAAATATGATGAAATTCCACTGATCCATCCATTTCTAACCACTTCATCCATTACAAGGTTGCGAGGAAACAGGAGCCTATCCCAGCACGTAACACACACAAGGCAGGGTACACCCTGGATGGGACACCAGTCCCTCATAGACACACACAGAAACCACAGCCAGTTTTCCCAGAAGCCAATTAACCTACAAACAACACCTTTGGACTGTGGGAGGACCCCCACATTATCACAGGGAGAACATGCAAACTCCACACAGACAGCAACACAGACATATTGCTGATCCCACGTCACTAGGACCCCTGCAGTCCTAGAGCACTGCCCCCCTCTGTCATGGTACCCTGCTGAACACACTCTCAGGACACAAGACAGGGCATTAACAAGAGGAGTCCATTCAGCCTGTCCAGCCTGTTAGGTAGTCAGCAGCTAATTGGAACAGGATCTCGTCCAGCTGTGTCTTGAAAGAAACCAGGGTTTCGGCTCCAACACCACAGCTCAGGAGCTTGTTCCACGCTCCCACCACGCTTTGTGTAAAGAGTTTTAAATGCCCCTCCGCAGTTTCCACTTGTGAACTCTGGCTCACGTTTCACTGTTCTAAGCTTCTGACAAAGCGTCAGTCAGGATGGAACCCTGGTCAACTGTTTGGTGGCACGCTGACCCCTATATCACCCAGGAGCCCGTCTGGTCGCTGGTAATAGATTGAGCTGTAATAGGTCAGTTAATCTGATGATCTCATCCTGTTTCTTGAGGGAAACCAGAGTACCGGCGTCAATAACGTGTCACACCTTCCAGAGACTCAGCTGTAAACTTGGACACAAGAGCTGCTCCCCTTCCACAGTCCGGCTTAAGGACGCGCTGCACGCACCCACCGCTCTTCGTGTAAAGGCAGCTCCTTCTATCCCATCCCCTCGCCTTGGAAACTGAACAGGGAGCCGGGCTGTTGGAGAGCCAGGAGGGCTGAGCTCTAAATACATTTTGAACTGGCAGTTAATGAACTTGAACCAATTACAGGCTCAATTAAGCCAGAGGCAGGCGATGTCCAGCCGCTGACTCAAGACATCTGCGAAACCTGCGAGGCTGAAACCGTCTGGAATTGGGGCTGGAGACTCGCGGGCGAAACCCCGTGTTTGTGTCATTCTCGGCGTTCCCTGTTTCACACAAACTGCCCACGACAATGGAAGCCCTCCTGAACGCAGGCCGCAGGGGCGGTGTGTGGTCTCAGAGATTAAATGGCGCGTGGTTCCCTCAGCTTCCTCTGAGTCAGATGTTTACTTGCTCATATCTGAAAGCCGAAAGACAGCGAAAGCACAGCCCCCTCCCGCCCCCAGAAAATAGGACAGAGCAGAGAAGCCGAACAGGACGAGGTCACTGGTCTCGGCCTGGGTCCTGGTCCGGGTGGGCACACCTCCTCTGGGGCTGCAGCTGGAGAGGGCGGGACACAGCAGGATCCCTGTCTCGCGGAGGACGAGAGTTTGGGCTGCTTTCAGCAGGACTAGGACATGCTGCAGCTTCTGTCTGCCTCCGGGACTGCAACTGTACAGCTCGTCTGAGCCCGTCTGCCCCCGGGACGGCCCGCCTGTAGGGGTATCTACCCCCTGTACAGCTCAATTGAGCCCCTATCTGCCCCCGGGACGGCCCGCCTGTGGGGGTATCTGCAACTGTACAGCTTGTCTGAGCCCCTTTCTGCCCCCGGGACGGCCCGCCTGTAGGGGTATCTACCCCCTGTACAGCTCATTTGAGCCCTTATCTGCCCCCGGGATGGCCCGTCTGCGGGGGTATCTGCAACTGTATAGCTCGTATGAGCCCCTTTCTGCCCCCGGGATGGCCCGCCTGTGGGGGTATCTACCATCTGTACAGCTGATCTGAACCCATATCTGCCCCAGGATGGCCAGGGGTATCTGCCTTATTGACAGGCAGCAGTCAGGTGGCAATATTCAACACTCCTTCCCCGGTCTGGGGCCACCAGCTGCATCTCAACCGCCTTCTGGGTCTGCAGCACCCCAGCAAGACACCCCAACACCCCCCCAGCAGGACACCCCAGCGAGCCCGGGCCTGGCGTCACCCGCTGGGCAGCGCTGCCGACAGCCCGAGCCGGCCAGCTGTGGCCCAGTTCGGAAACATCTCGTGTTGTTGAAGCAAAAATAGATTTCCTCACCCCCCCGGCCCTGCCCCGACAGACACATCGTGAAATCGGACTCTCTCAGAGACTGTTCCCACCGGCCCGGGCGCCCGGCCAGGAGAGAAATAATATATACTTACACATCCTCATCCTCCGCCATTCAGACAGGAGACAATAACACGCGGGAACACGAGCTATTACGGCAGAGCACGAGAAGACGCTAATTTCTCCTGATCAGGACGAGACCGCGGGGCCCCACGGCGCGCGCTCCCCCGAAGTTCGCCCGTGGGGGAGAGAGACTCCACGGGCGCCGTTTCAAACTGCGACCCCCTGCAACACGAACGGGCTCGCGGTGTCCCCCACCTCGCATCTCACAACGCCTTCTGTTTGTTTTCCTTTTCTCGGGAACCATCTACGCTTAGAAAATGTGTGTGTGTTACATTTCGTGGTTTTTTTTTTTTTTTTGCTGTTGTCGTGCAAATCTCGTACAGTTGGACTGGATTGGGTCGGTCCGAGGCACGCGGGCGTTACATAACTCGACCAGCGCTCCGCACGCGCTGCAAGCCTGCTGCTCTCGAGCTCGGCCCCGGACGCGAGCTTCCATTTTCAG